AATAATATATATATATATATATATATATATATATATATATATAAATCAGACTAAATAAATAACTTGTCAGTTGTCATTATCAGAAACTAACTTATAGATTAACACCACTATATAAAAAACAAGTTATTTTTTTTATTATTATTTTGCTTAGCTTTATTTAATTAAAGACATAGATGGAGCTAATAAAGCGATGGATGTCAAATGGACATCCATGAGTGTGACTATTGAATGGCGATTTGAGTCCTTCGTGACCCATAAATTGACATCTTGACTGGTTCAGCCACTATTTATTTTTTATCCCCAAACTAAGTAATTATTGGAGCCACTAATTAAAAATCTTAGCTTTCCCATTTCTTTTTTTATATGCCTACAATTACACATCAGATCTGGCAAAAAATCAATTAGTGAAACTCCTTGGTGGTCCCTTGACTCCTATTTAAATAGGTAAGAACCTCTTGTAAATTTCTTTAAAGTGGAGTTTTGTTCAAAGTAAATTTTCCCCCTTTGAGCACACTGGTCTTCACCGGTGCTTTTGTTTTTACTCTAATAAATGTATAAAATTAAAAAAAAAAATTCACTAAGAACTTACGTAGCCCAAATCACTTGTAACGTGTAGTTGCGTAACCAATGACTCAAATAATTTTCTTTTTATTATTAGTGTAAAATATACCTAATCATCATTTTAATTTACTACCATTTCTTCTTTCAATCATTTATTTTTCATTTATAAAACTCAATTTCAAAACTTTATTTAAAAAATTTCGAAAACAAAGAACATGTACACAATTTGTAAAATTTAGTTGTCATCAACACTATTTCTACCTCTTCATATTCATGGTCAGTTTTGAACCTTTGTAATTTATCAACAAATATTGTAAACATTCTAATATGAACCAAAGTATGATTAATTATAGATTTAAAACTTAATTCAATCTTATAAAATTGGTTTATAAAATGAGAATTGTTTCTCACTTATAAATTCCTTAATTATTTTATTACTTAATTTTTTCTAATATATCTATAGAATATGAATTTAAAATCTAATTGACTAATTCAACCTAACAAAACAGTTCATGTCCCATAAAAGATAGTAGTCAAGACAATTGTTCCAAAGGTGGTGGTAAGTGGTAACTAACTATGATAAATAAATAATTAATTGGGCAGAGATGAAACGTACTAAGTGAAAAGGAACATCAACTTTCACCATCTACTTTCACTAATTTAAAATTCCTTATATGGTATTGGAACTTGTGGGGTCTTTGCTTAGAAGCAACATGAAGTGCGTAAAGAAATAAAGTAAAAATGAATGAAGTGCGTAAGCGTAAGCAAAGTAGAAGAGTTTTACAGATGGAAGAAGAATATTGACAAAAACGAAGACCCAGTAAGTCTACCAGTCTAAGTCAAGTAAACCCTTTAGAGAAGCAACAAGGTCCATTTCCTTGAACTGCCATGCCAAATCTGTAGCCACTTGTACTCACACTTACGCCCACTAGATTAAGGAATTTCCCTATTTCCTCATCCATTATTTTCTACACTTTTTATTACAAAATAAAACTATATTTTGTGGAGTGTAATTATAATAATATTAAGTATGACCATACTTTCACTTACTATAGAAACAATCTATATAACAGAAAATTCATGTTTTTATCTTCCTCATATGTAAATATATTAAAATAATATGTAAGTCACTTAATTATTTAAGAATTAGTATGTTACAGTAATGTAGAGAGTTTGAGTTAGAGACGTATTAAGATAGGGAAATAAGAGCGTATAAGAGAGTCGTCTCTTGTGTTGTAAGTAACTTAAGAGTTAACATGGCGAGGCCTCTTCTACTCTCCTCCTCCTTCCTCACCCTATCCATGCCCCTCACTGTTTTCTGCGTTGCTCTTGCTGTCTTGAGCGTATTTTCTGTCATCACTTTTCTCTGTGGTTCTGACAAACTCAACAAGTTCCACAAACAAACCCAGAAAGCAGCAACGAGATCCAAGGAGCAGAAGATGATTTCGAAGCTGAACAGCAACCTCGGCCACAGGGCACTCTCCATGGCCAAGATGCTGTCGTGGAGGAAAGTGCAGGCAGAGGGAGAAGAAGCAGACAAAGATGATGAAGAAGAAGATGATGATGAAGAAGCCCTTTGGAGGAAGAACATCTTGATGGGAGAAAAGTGTCGTCCTCTTAACTTCTCTGAACCCAAAAGCTAACACTTCTTTATTTCTCTCATGTATTTTCTTACAACTTGTCTTTCTCTTCCTTCATTCCCAGCTTAGAATCTGGTTGCAGGCATGTTTTAGGTGTTTTTGAGAACGTTTTATTAAAAATAAACAGTATTTTTCTATAATAATAAAAAAAAAAAAAAAAAACTCAAAAATGATCCTAAACTTGTATCCAAATAGATTCTTAGTTAGCTACTAATTTCTCAGGTTTTGCAGAGTTTGCTATTGTAATATATAGTAATAAACTTAGCAATCTTTGTTTTTTTTTGGGTACTCGTGTGTGGCTTTGCGGGGTTAGACACAGTTTATAAACTTTATCATGAAACATCTGATGCTATTTCCTTTTGTTCTTATTCTTCTTCTTTTTTACTAAAATTTTGTTTTCAGGTTTTTAGAACTTACAGAGAATAAAATGTTAGAAATAAGATTCCCTTCATTCTGATACTTCTTATTATTAATACTGCATAATTTTATTGTGTGAACTGTGAACACTGAAAAACTCTGCACAATTGACTTTCTGAAAGTCTTTCTATCGAGTAACTTTAAATTGAAGTATTAGGATCACGGATTTATTTATTTATTAATTTTTGTTGTTTGACGATTAAACATTTTCAATCTATTATGTGTTCCTTGTACCTTTGATTTGGTGGTTGTAGATTTCCATGTCGTTCTGGATATTTCATTTAGTGCAAGCTTTTAAAATATATAAAAAAAATTTTCAAGAAATACTTTGTGGTATTTGTTAATAAATTAATCAAAATAGCTTTAGATGATGCTTTTGCATGAAGAAAAGAAAAATATAACCAATTCCCTTTTTTCTATTTCGAGTGTTTTCTTGCCCTATCAGAAAATTCAGATGGTCCCCTACACCCTTTCCACTGTTTTAATTGGAATATTTCAAGAAGAGGAATCATATATCTATCATTTTCCACTTTAATGGCTTGATTGAAATATCTATTTTTTTTTAATATTATATCACATATTATATTTATATATCTCATTCTTCCATAACTCTTTCTATCACTAATGTTAAATAGGTGAAGGGTGACCACCAATTATTTTTTATTTTAAGAATTTTATTCTTTGAATTTGTAGACTAGAGGAAATTGATAAGTAAGGGCATCTTAATTTCTATAAATGTATGAAGTAAATCTTTTTATATATAACTATTTAATTATATAAGCTAAAATCATTTTATTATACTTCAATAAAACAAATTAATATAAAATAATATTTAATTTGATATAAATTTAAATTGAATAGTATAATTATTGCAATAATCATATTTTAAAGACAACATTTTTTTTAGAATTTAAATAAATTTAATTTAATTTTAGTCATGATAGCATACTCATAATAATAATAACAATGAACATAATTTAATATAAATTTTCAATTTATTATTAATTTTTATAATTTAAATTAAATATTATTTAGTTTAAATTTAGATTTGAAGATAATGACAGACTCGTAAAAATGACAATTTTAGAAAAATATAAAATTAACAAAATTATTTCACTCTCATAACTTATGTAAGAAGAACAACGAAAGAAAAAAAGAGAATATAATTAATTAATTAATTAATCGAGAATGTAAACAAAAAAGTAACACTCTCACTTTCCAAAATTAATACTCAAAATTATATAGTAAGAATAGATTTTATCATCGGACAAAAGATTAAAAAATTTCAATCTAAAATGGGGTACAAATGTCTTATAATTTTTACTGCTAAGATAAATATTTAAAGATTTAAATATGCATATAATCTTGCATTATTATTAAACAAGTTTATATATAGTTTTTCTTTATAATTACTCAAAATTAAAATTCGTAATCTTTTTTAACTAGGCCTGTAACAAATATCATTTAACGTCGTAACACTATCAAAACTATAGCAACTTTACAAGCAAAAGCAACTATTTTCTGGTCCAACAAGTTTTCTTTAAATAGTTTTATGGCTGATGATATATACACCTCCATTTTTTTATACATACACCCTCTTTTTAAAAAAAAATATTAAATTCTTAAATTATCTTTAATATTATTTGAAATAAAAAAAATTATCCTGGAAATTTTTTTTCGGAGGTGTATTTGTTAGAGCTATCAAATCGGGTCAGCCCGGCCCATGTGGGCCGACCCACCTTGACCCACTTTAAAAATGAGCCAACCCAATCCAGCTCACTTTTAATTTTCTCAAAATAAAATTGGCCCGGCCCGGCCTACCACGGGTTGGTGAGTTATACGGGCCAACCCACCAAAAATTAAAATTTTTTTATCAAAATTTAAAATTTAAAATTAATTATAAATTAACATAATAGTCATAAAATTAGCATTATTAATAGTCATAAGTCGTAACCATCATACAAAATTAAATACAAATCATGATAAAAGTTTAAAATAAAAAATTTCAATATCCCATCATACAAAATTAACTACAAATCATACTTAAATTTTTATTGCAAAAAAAAAATGGTGGGTTGGTGGGCTACCCGGCCCACCACGGGTTTAGCCCGGATGGGCCGGGTCAAAGTGGACCGGGTCGAAATATACCCACCTATTATAAAACTTTAATTTTTTTGGCCCGGCCCAGCCCGTTTTCAAGGTGGGCCGGGTTGGTCCACGGGTCCCAGCCCACTTTGACTGCTCTAGTATTTGTACATAATTATGGAAAGTTCTTTCTGGAATACTAAAATTACTATTCCGGAAATAACTTTCCGTCGAAATAATTCTGGAAAGTACTTTTCGTAACACTAAAATTACTATTGCGGAAAGTTCTTTCCGGAATTATGATAACAAATACACACTGTTAATATTCCGGAAAGAATTTTTTGCAATAGTAATTCTAGTGATATGGAAAGTATTTTCCATAATTATTTCGACGGAAAGTTATTTCCGGAATAGTAATTTTAGTATTCTGGAAAGTACTTTCCGTAATTATTCTGACGGAAAGTTCTTTTCGGAAGGCTCATGATATATATACCTCCTGTTTTTTTTTATAAGTACACCTTCTTTATTTTTTTAAAAAAAATTATAAAATATTATATATATATTTTTTAATTTTATACCTTTAACTTTCAATTTTCTACTTTTTTCTTTTTTTTTCACACACTTTTTTTTTCTCTTTCAATTTTTACATGCTACCAAAATAGGTGGAGTGAAAGAAAGATAACGGGGTGCATGTAAAAATTGAAAAAAGAAAAAAAGAAGAAAAAATAAAGATCTGTAAAAAAAAGTACTAAATTAAATGTTGTGAATATAAAATAAAAAAAAAAAGGAAAAAGTTAAGAATATTTTAAAATTTTAATTATTTTTTTTAAAGGAGGTGTACTTATAGGAAAAAGGAGGTGTATATATCATCAACCTTTGAAAAACACTTTCCAGAATAATTTTTTTTATTCCAAATAATATTAAGGATAATATAGGAATTTAATATTTTTTTTAAAAAAAAGGGGTGTATGTATAAAAAAATGGAGGTGTATATCATCAACCTAGTTTTGTTCTGGATAAGTGTTTTAATGGGCCCAACATCCTTCCACCATACGATCCATTAGATGACCCACGCAAAGCCTGGCCCAATTCGCCTTCTCCCCTGCCCCTCGAACCATATCACCCAAAGCTCACTGCCCAACTCAGTTGGGCAACCCAAAATTTCATTGAATGGCACAAAAAACTTTTGGGTACAATATGTTTTTACTTTTTAGTCTTTTAAAATTTTCAAAATTTTATTTTTAGTATTTAATTTTTTTTATCATTTGAATCTTTAGAATTTTGAAATGTACCACTTTTAATTTTTAAATAATATTTTTAAAGATATTATTTACGTGAAGTTTGAGTGCTTCCGTGCATCTAAATCAAAATTAATTTTATAGATGTTTATCCAAACACACTCTTCCACAAAAATGCATTTTTGCTTCATCTTCCTCCTTATTATCTCATATTTTTACTCCTTTAATCTCTTTTAATTTTATTTTGCCACATACTCTTCTTCCTTTTTTATTCTTTGTGTCATATTTCTATTATTTTTTTTCTTCATGGGGTGATGAATGGTGTCTGACTTTAAAGTGTCATATTTCTATTATTCTTGATTGTGTGACGGTCTGTCCAAGTAGTTGACCACGAATAAAGAACCAACACAAGTAAAATTGACATACTACAAATATAAATATAGGAATCTTATAAAAAGGAATTGTTGTACAAGATAAAATTAGGAACACAATCCTTAGAGAGAAGAGAATATCTCCTTTTAACAATCATGAAAAAGTGACATGACAGGGATAAAAGAAAATAAAAATACTTTTAAGAATAAAAGATTCTAATGAATGCTGATGGAGAAGAATACTTTCTTACTTGGGTAGAAATATAACTTTTAATTTTCAAGGTGAATGATTTTGAATGTAAAATTACAAAACTTCCTCATAATAATTGATGGTAAATATAATGATCAAAAGTTGAATATTATCAAACACGTATTATAATTTTCCCCATGAGTCATACTCTTAAAAATATCATTCTTAATAAAGTAATTTAGTCGAGAATAAAAGATTTTTTTTCTTAAGAACATCTATAAGTCAGACAATTAATTAAGAGTGAGGTATAATTATGTAAATTAACTTATCTTTTTCACTTAACACAACTTGCACATGGTAGAACTTTATATCAATATATCTAGTTGATCATAACTAATAAAGAAGCTAAACCCTAAACTTTGAATTAGTTATACCAATATGTAGTTGATCATACCTAATATCTAGTTGATCATACCTAATATCTAGTTGAATTAGTTGAGGCTTAGTTACTGTTATTTTATCAAACACATTATTACATTAAAATTAAATATTTTTCATCATAATTCTAAATTAAACTTTGAAATAATTATCCTTATCTTAATAATTCTTCATGGTTTAATTGTTTTTACTCATAAAAATTGAATTTAATATAAATGAATTTACAACAGTCACGCACACTGCTATTAATCTCTTTAATGAAAATAAGCGTTAAACATCCAAAAATCATAATAATTTAAACTTTGAAATTAGTATGTTAATGTGTTTGTTTAACTTAATATTTAACGCCAGGGTGTTTGTTGGTGGAAATTAGAAAATCTACAAGTCTTTCTTAACAAACAAGGCACTGAGGATGAAATCAGAAAAGGAATAATCTTCTAATCTTATCACTACAAACGAATGCACGTATATACATATCTGTATCTGCATTCAAAGTGAAAAAATAAAACATAATAACTACATATATATAAAACATGCTTCAAAAACACTAAAAGAAAACTATGAGGGTGCTACTGCTCTGGCTAACTTTACGTTTTTGGCTTGATCACGACTTGCTTCTACTTAATTAAATAATTACAATTACAACCAAGGAATACCCTTATTCACTAGCAACTATTGTGGACCTGCTTCTACATGAATTTCTTCATTTTCCATTGGGCTAAAACTCACTCGTTTCTGCAAAATCATAACATTCAAGGAAAAATAATTAGCATCAACATTAACACAATCCCAAGAAGAATCACATATTTACAAATTAGTAAATTAAATGAATTGTTAGGAAACTGGCAACTGCAAACATCATCGATTACATTGACTTTTGAAATGTCTTTTTTTACCCCTCGTTATTTGAATACACCAACTTACCAAGTCTAAGTCTCCGATAATACATTACATTGTTTTGTGTATTTATTAGGGCCACAATCAATAAACGACGAGTACTATAATTGAGTGCACATGTAATACCACCAAAATTGGGAATTATTCTTTGGGTGGCGTGTTTGATTTTACATAAACTTCCAAAATCCTGTTTGTTTCCCTCAATGCAACTCCATTTGCTAGTGTATATGTTAGGTATGGTTTTGAGATAAAGTTAAATTTGAAGTCTTTAATTGGAAAACGAACATTTTGTTATTTTTACAATAAATAAAACTCAAGTCCGTCGAAACTCAAAATTCAAGCAAATAGTAAATCAAGTTGTGTTGTGTCATGACTCATGACTCATGTGTGTAGACTGAAGTAGTCTTCACACATTGGATTTCAGAAAGTTGGTAATAATGGTTGTCCTCATATACGTAGAATTGGCAAACGTTATTCATAAAATCCAAAACATAGTTTGGGTTCAAAATGACTTTATAAAACTTGGTAAGAAGATTTTTGTCCTTTTGAAGAAAAAGAGGATGAAAAATTGAATCTTGTGAAGTTGTGAGTAATGAAGAAGAATTATAAAAGGCTTAAAATAGAATTAAAAATCCCTTGAAATCCGCAAGAAGAAAACGACCGTGTCTACGCAACCACATGCCATTTCGCGTGCGTCGACATCATCATTAACAAACGCCTTAATTAACGCCCGTGAACGCTAACGGCCAAACACATGAAAGTTCAACGCACTTTCAAACATTCAAACAAATGAAACAATATCTTTTGCTATACTCCTACTTATCTTTTTTTTATTCGAATTAAATCTAAAGTGGGCCTCATAATAAGAATCAGTTTAATTTTTTTAAAATACGTTAATTAAATCATTTGTATCAATTCACAAAATAGTTGATGGAATAAGTGTTTTGTTAACATTAGACATAATTTAAAACAAAATTTAACAATATCATTATCAAGTAATAGCAAAAGCAGAGAAATACATACCCCACGTGGTTTGTGAATGTGATGGTGCACCGGCGCAGCGGCGGCGTCAGCCTCGGCGGCATTGGCTCCCATGTACAAACTTATGATTTTCTCCGCCACCTGGGACCCGTCGGTGCTCTCCTCCATCAGCTTTTCCAATTGGGCCTTGGGGAGCCTCATCTTAACCCTCATGGGCCCGGGCCCGTCCGGACCCAGATTGGGAGCGGGCCTGACGAGGTCCGAAACGGAGCGTTTGGAGAGCATCAAGAGGTCGAGTCTATCCTTAGCGTTCATGCCGCGTATTCCACTGGATCGCACCCTCCTAGGCAGCGCCGTTTTTTCCTCTTGGGGCTGAATCTTGGGCAGCTCCACGAGGAAGTAGATTTTCTTGGGCCGAAGCTCCTGGTGGGGCTCCAAGGGCCTGGCCCGAAGCCCGAAATGTTTGACAGCTTCGGAGTCCATGAGAACGTGACCAGGGTAGTCCTTGACGACGTCGTTTGCTCTGGCTGGAGTCTTGAGCTTGAACGTTTCCCCATCCACCTTCATCACCTTCGCTTTTTTACTCCTTCCCACGCTGTTCCCCATCTCTTCTGTTGCTTTACTCTTTCGCCAAATTAAGGTACGTCTTTTTGCCTCAACTAATATTGTGGGGGTATTTATATCATAAGAGGTTGACAAAATCATTTTTTTTAATTATGGGGTTGCATGTGTGAATCGGTGGAATCTTTTCCTAAGTATATAATTATTAATTGAATTGTGATATTATGGAGAATAGTAGTGGGAAAAGTTTGGGTGCAAAGGGATAAACTCTAGTTTGGTTGGGTTGTAACAATAGTTGTGGGGTAGGGCAGAGCAACCTTCAATCTTAATCAAACTCTTGTAGTACCCATTTGAGAAAAGGAGTGGGCTACCCTCATATTCTTTTCATATGTGTTTTGTCTACCTGTCGAGGGAAGTTGCGTTTGAGATGGATGATGACGTTGGATAATGTTAAACGAGGTAAAACAATTCATGATTTATTCAATTTCTATACCCACAAGAGAAATTCTTTATTACGTACCATATAAACCCTTTTTACAAACCAACATAGGTCTACCAAGAATATGTAAAAAAAAAAAAAAAAAATGTAAACTGAAATTCAATCAATTACAATAGAATCTTCTAAGTTGAGATTCTAGATGGAGACGCGTATTTTTAAGGGGGAAAGAGAGTTTGATGGATATGGTAAAGGGTTGAAGCCAAAGATGAGCATAAAAAACACGTATGTATAATGTATGTATGTATATGGTAGGCACTTGCATTAGGCAACTCTTAATGGATAAGAGCATCGACACTCACTTTTACTTTTTAATCTCTTCTTCCTTCCATCCTCTTTTTCAAACAATGGGTGTCGCCGTCCCACACCTTCTGTCTATTGTTGACTTTTTTTTTTTTTTTTTAATCACTTTTTTTATTATTATATTAATATAGATCTTAAGTATTTGCTCGTATTATCGATAAGTAATATACAATCAATTGCGTAGATCAATTGAATCAAATGGTTTTCAGTTTGAATATACTGAGTATGCACAATTATCTTAAATACTTTGAGAATTTTTTTTTTCTCATATAATTATTGTTTATAGTAATTATTTAACTTGAATACGTTTGCTTTTAAAAAAATAACTTAATCCATATAAAAAAAATATAATAAAATTGGTATCGTTTACTTCTCTACTTTTTGTCTTCTCTTTGTGCTTCCTTCGGTAGGTACATATTAAAGAGCGACAATGTAACAACTCCCACGAGAGGTGAGGTAAGTAGGTAACATTCAATCAACTACAAGGGGGTTTTGTGTGTATTTATTCATAGGGTGTATTTAAATAAATAATTTAATTAGATATATATTTAATAAGTTATTTGTTCAATAATAACTTATTTATTACTTTAATTATAAAATTTATTAAAATGAATTAAGAATTTATATCTATGATATTATTTATGAATTAATTAAAATAAAATAAAATTTTGTAGGAAGTGTATAAGATATTTTATTATGTCCAAGGTTACATTTGAAAACGTAAGTTCACATGCTCATTGAAAAAACAAATTAATTGAATAAAGTCATTGGATTCACTTATAATATTAAAACTTTTTAATAAAATAATTATTGAACTAGTTAATAAATAAAAAGGCATAAAGGAGCATGTTTATATGATCTTTAATATAATTTTTATTTTTTAGAAAACAAATATTTTTAAGTAAATATAATTTCAGTTTTTAATTAATTTTCAAGTTGTATAAATTTTTGCTCAATGAATAAATATTTTATCAAATAAATAAATAAATTATTTCATATAACAAAATTAAATCTTGTAATAATATTAATAAAATTTTAATTAAATTAATACTATAATATTAGACAAAAGAATAAATGAGGATTTTTACAATAAGTGAGGTTTTTTTTTTATCAAAGTAATAATGGTACATCCGGAAAAAAAAATGGCTAAATTATATTTCTTATCCTTTATTTTATTTCTTAGATTCATTTTGATCTTTTATTTATTTAAATGTTCGTTTCAATTATTTATCTTTTTATTTGGATTGATTTGCTCTTTTTTAAAATAATGATCATTTTTTATTTTGTGACATATTTTTGAATCAATTTTTTATGGGGATTCAAGATGTCAAATTTGTAACATTAATTAGATTTACTTATATAAAAATTATAAATTGAATTACATTTGAATCCAAAAGAGTTATATAAATATAGTGAAAATCATGTGAAAAATATATATATGTTCCATGAACAACTAGAAAGTAAAATGAAATTGGATTTTTGAATTTTTTTTAATTTCTTTTTAGACTTATTTTTATGTGATTTTTACCATGTTTATGACACTTTTTTGTTTGAATTACATTTGAGTTCAATAGTTTTATGTAATCGAATTTAGTAAGATAAATTTTAAGTTTTAAATCAATCAAAAAGTAATTTAAAATCATGTCTCAAAAGTAAAAATAATCATTATTTTGAAGGGACCAAATCAACTCAAAGTAAGAAAATAAATGATCAAAATGAATACTTTAAAAGATAAATGAATAAAATGTATAATTTAGAGAGAAAAATTGTAAGTTGCAATGAATTTTAAGTTTGAATGTTATTACTTTAAGACTTTAATTAAACTTGTTGATTAGAGGAAAAAAGATGTAACACACGTACACAAATTTATTCAACATGCTTATCTCTTTATCATATTATTTATTATATTCCAAACTTTTTTCTTTCCTTTATAAAATTTATTGTACAATTTATCGTATAAATAACATTGTTTCAGCTAAATTAGACTAGTTGCAACAAGAAAACTAGTAGGCAAATGAAGAAATGAAAATATGAAAGCTCATGTCAATGATCTATGTTTCCACGAAGGTATGTTGGATCTCTCAATACTTAATGTTTATTAATATGTGTTAATCATACACCACGAGATGATTCAAGATGATATGGTACAAATAGGAGTTCTAAACGGTCAAGAAGTTAGTACTTGAGTTCATGTGCCCTCTAAGAAAGTTTAGATAATGAGACAAATCCCTAATAAGTTTATTTTATGGTCAAGAAACTAACTTGGGTGATTGTAGTAAAAGTAATTCTAAAAATTTTCTTTATTTTTATATTTTTTCTTTACATGTGAAAATGCCTTAATTGTGTTTACTAATATTATTTAAAATTTGATATTTGTTTAGGATGGTTTTGAAAAGAAAAAACAAATTTCTGTCAATGATTCGAAACTTCAATTTTCCCCTCTTCAATGTTTGATTAACTATCAAGAGAAACCTTCTACATATAAACATGAGTCTTGAAGTTGTATGCAAGAGCACTACGTACCATCCTTTTCTTATATGTCACAAGGATTTTTTTAGACATATGTGATTTGTAACAATTTGTTCAATATATCAATAGTACAATTATAGTTGTTGTAAATATAATTTTATTTATGTAAATTACTTAATTAATATATCAAAGTATTTATTCTAATATTAATTTATTTAAATATTTAAGGTGTTTACATCGAGAGGAGAACCATATATATATATATATAGAGGAGGGTTCAAACGATACTGGTGTAACTTTTACTAAGTGTTACACCGCTTAATAACTTTAAATTAAATGTAAATTTTGTAAATCCAACCGTTAGATTGAAAGTTCTTTACTCTTAGATCATATATACAAAATTTTAGATTAATTTAACATGATTTGATACTTCATTCTTATAAAATAAAATTAACGTAATATATTTATTTTAAAATATATTAAAATATGAACACTTTGATTATCTTCAAGTTGTTGTTCAATTTTAACAAAATTTGATATACACATATAAAGTGATATGAATTTTCAATCTAACGGTTAGATTTACAAAATTCACATTTAATTTAAAGTTATTGAACGGTGAAATATATATATATATATATATAGAGATTTATTGGTTCGGTGACATAGAGGTCTACTTAACACTTACTTGCATCAATAAGTACAAATTTAAATATTATTCAAAATTAAGAGTTACTTATTAGTAATATAGTTATAAATGCACGTTTTATTGACAACTAATAGTTATTGTTCCTTGACAAATTATTGTAATTTTCTTGTGTTAATTGCATAAAAAAAAAAACAAATACTTTCTTCATCATGAACTTAATTAACTCATAAGTTTATAATTCTAATACATTTTTTTTCATTATTTTAATGATAATAAAGTCAATTCATTGTCTATAATCGTGCTATGGAAGCACATATGAGATTTCTAAAGATTCCACCTAAATCTAGGAAGAAGCTTACATAAGTTGTGTCAAATATAAGTTAATTGTTAAACCAACGTTGAATTACAATTTAAAATACATGTATTCTCATTGCATATATATTCAATTTGTAGAGTCCAAGATAATTGGATAACTATGAGTACCAATATTATGTGATGAAGTACATATTCATCTCTGCATGTATATTGTTGACTCTTTAAGAGAGATTATACATTTTAAAATCAGAGTATCTATTTAAATGTCAAGTAATATTTTATGTCCAATTTGAATCGTAGATATTCAACAACTCATGTCCATTTAAGGAGGAATACTTTGAAGACATTTGCACACGATAAACTTCATATTACTATATATATTTATATATAAGTTGGTGGTTGTTGCATGTATTTTAGTTTAAACATGTTCATGTTAGTTTACACATGTTATTATGAGGACTATTTAGTTTACCTTATGTTTATGTTTATGTATACATTGCTTAATTTTATGTAATTTATATTATTTATAAAATTTACAATACTAAAGTCTATCATCATTCAATTCATTGAGGTTTTTAATGATATTTCAAATTGAATTGTTTGGTTTAAGGTTGTCTGTTAGTAAATTACATGGAGAAAAAATAGCAAGAACAAACAAGTTATATATATATATATATATATATATATATATATATATATATATATATATATAGAGAGAGAGAGAGAGAGAGAGAAAG